GAGAGAGAGAGAGAGAGAGAGAGAGAGAGAGAGAGAGAGAGAGAGAGAGAGAGAGAGATGTACACGGTCAATATCATGGATGGTACACAAACATAACTTTTAATCAACAGATGGCATTTAAAATTTTAAATTCCATTGGAAGCAATCATGTAAAAGGATACTGCCTCAAGCACATCCATCATGAAACAGGAAAAAGAAGAAGAAGAAGAAGAAGAAGAAGAAGAAGAAGAAGAAGAAGAGAGAAGAGAGAAGAGAAGGCTGACTGGTACGTGCACACACCTCGACCCTTTTCTTAGAGAACATGTCGGAGGCTCACTGATCAGAGATTCAGAATGATGATTGATGAGAGACATGCACCCACCTGCAGTTCGGCGCTCCTTTTCTCAACCTCCTTAGCGATCTGCAGCCCAAATGAAAAGGAGAGAACCAAAAAGAGTCAGCTTAAAAAATGCCAAAGGAGCATAAAATCATCAAAATCGAAAAAGTCAAAAGGAGAACGCCATCAGAGTAACAGTGCTGGGGGAAGGAGAGGGGATGAGAGGAGAGGAGAGTGGAGGAGAGGGGAGGAGAAGGAAGGACAGGGAAGGAGTGGGGAGGAGAACGGGGGGGAGGAGGAGAGGGGAGGAGAGGGAGGAGAGGGGGGGGATGCAAATACAGAGAGAAAGAGAGTGGGGATGATGGGGGTGCCATCATGCAGGGAGGGTGCACTCTCCTCTACATTGTTGTCCTTATAAAGCACTTCGTACATGAGATTCCATTTTACTTTTCAAATTTTGAAAGTGTATAGATATAGGTGAGAGAGAGAGAGAAAAAGTTTTGGCTCCTACTGAATAGTGTATAAATATAGGTGAGAGAGAAAAAGTTTTGGCTCCTACGGAACTGCAGCAGTCTATCACAGGCCTATGGTTCACCCTATGGTTCACCGCACAGCTCTCCATAATGATAATATATATCATCATAGACGCCTGCCCTGTGAACCTTCGGCAGAGACGAAGAAAAGGACAACAAATGAGGGGCTGTGACTCGACTGATGATATTGTAAGTGATCACCCACCTTAACCCTGGTTGCGGTTCGGGCATCAACGACTGCCCGACAACTGATACCCTTCCAAGGAGGTGGGCACAGATGAATGCCCGCAAAGGTACCTACGACGAAAATTTGAAGCAGAGACTATCACTCACCCACACCAGACAGAAGACTCTATAGACTCCGGAAGGTTCACACACCCCCATCACTCATAAGACACCTTCGCGTAGTGAGACAGAAGACTCTACAGACTGCAGAAGGTTCACGAGACACGAGGAAGGTCTGCCACAGCTAGCAAACGCACTCCAGACACACTGGCATTACTAAAGGCACAGCATGGCATCTTAGTGACGGCCCCGACCACTGTCGGTCAACCTGACCGGAGAAACCCGTAGCACGGAGCTAGCGAAGAACAGATAGACATCATCACGGACCAACACATGTATCCAGACCCCTTCCTCCTACTTGGCGCTCAGTGCCCAGGCTAGAATCACACAGCTACTAGCAGCCTACGAATTGACAATGCAACCTGTTGACATCAGCAGCAACAACCGAAGTAGCATGATGTCGACCCTGTAGACCATCGCCAAGACCAGGTACGCGCCCTCACATCATCATCCTCACCTCTCTCTCGTCCTCGTCTTCTCTACCCACGCCTTCCTCCCCATACACAAAGACCACCACCACCTCCACTGGCTATCCAAGCCAAGCCCTGGCTATGTAGGGATGGCTAAGGCGCTGCCCTCAGCAGTGCCCTGTCTTCTTCCTCGATGACCACGTGCGCCCGGTATCTGCTAGCGCACAGCAAGCAGCCCGCAAGCGCACGCTCCAGCAGCACTGCTGCTTGCACAAGCCAGTGCCCGAATACCACACCAGTGGCGAGCTCTTTCCTTTATAGAAAGTGCTCCCCCAGTTTGCTGTCTGGCTGGGCCTCGTGTGTTTCCAGTAGCTTCCAATCGGGCCAAAGTGTTTGCGCCCAGGCCTATTCAGACAGTGGCCTGGGACCGAATTGGTTACGCCTGCCCAACTACCCAGGAGTAAACATGAGGTTCTCCCTGCTTCGCCTGTGCTGCTGGAAGAGCCTAGAAGGCTCACGAATTATTCCTGATTCTCATGGGCACGGAGGATGTAACCAACTGGCGCGTGGCAACTGTCTGGCGCCCACCAAACTTTCCCAAAATTGACGAACTCAAGCCATATTGAAATTCAGAGGCCCACCTTCACGTAGGGCGGGCTCATGCTTGCTGAAAGGGCCCTACAGAGCATGCCGAGGAGCTAACTCGTAACAAGGCCTCGTCGAAGATCCATGCCCACATAGGGGTTCCAACAGGCTCTGCTTGGGCCCCTCGGCCTGGTCTCATAGCCCTATAAACAGGCCCTGGCACATATTTGCAGGCCTGCCTTCACTCAGGGCGGGCATGGCACCTTTCCAACACTGCTGAGGTACTAAATCCTTGTAGGGACCTTCTTTGGGCCTTGCACGGTCAGGCCACCCAGGCAAACAAGGTGACCCGGGTGGCCCGGCTGGTAGCCTAGTGTTTTTTTTTGTTTTGTTTTGTTTTTCCCCAAGCACAATGCCCCTTCTATTCTGGGGGCTCAGTCCGGTTGCTCATCACCGGCAAGCATGTTTTTGCATCTGAAAAGAGGAGGGGGGGAGAACAGACAAGACAGAGGGCCAGCCCATCCCTTGTGGCCCTAGACCCCTGGCAAGGGGGGAGTGTTTTGGGGCAACCCCCCTCCCCCCTATCCTTAGCCTTTCAGGGGGGTTGCCCTACTGGCCGGGAGGCGTACTGGCAGCACCCAGTCGCGGAGTAGGGAAGCCCTCAGATAGGTGGGGTGCGGGGGGGGTGCTCCTAACAGTTCTTCAGGCCGCTTAGCATCCTGTTGCCTATTTCTAATATCCCTCATCACACATACACCCTACATTACCTACGTCTAAAGCCCATATCTGGTTCCAGCCTATTCCCCCATATCTACATGCCCACCTCAACCTACCTGTTCTCCCCCAGATCGTATTCCACTTGCCCCCCATATCTATAAAAGCCATGGTAGGCCCTCCTACCATTTCCTCAGGCCGCTTGGCATCCTATTTCTGATATCACATACCCCAGGCATTTGAACAAGCCATAATAGGCCACAATCCACCCACTTGTTTTAGTGATATTTCATGTTTTCTGTATTTTTACAGTTTATTTTAGTATTTCCCGTTCACCCCTCGATCCCCTCCCCACCCCGTTCCCCTACATTATGGTTCCCTTCACTACCCACTACCCCCTCGCCCCATAGTCCCTCCCCTTACGCCTTCCCCTACCCCCCCCTCCCTCCCAATGTCCCCCTTTCCTCTATACTATTTCTGCTGTCCACCGGGTTTCATCACCTCTACACATCTAACTACTGTACAAATCAGTTAACTGCCTTTCCTATACTTCCCCAGGCTCGTCGTCCTCCTCCAGCCGGGGCCCGTGTCGCAACAAAGCGGGACCGAACTGCATATGGCCCGAATTATCAGTTGCAGGTATGGGGCCCTATCTCACCCAGAAGCCTTCCAGGTTGTGCAATCTTGAATGGTTGCATCTGCACAAGTCCGCCTGAAGGGCGATTCTGATGTACTCCAAAGCCCTTTCCTTATATGCCTGCAGAGGGAGGGGCGTTCCCTGTCGAAATCTCTTGTTCCGCAGGGTCCATAACGCCCACAGCACAGCCGCTCGCAGAGTCTCTGCCGCCATCATGGTTTCCAGATTTGCCATGTCCACTGTAATGAGCGTCCCTAGGAGAATAACTGCATCGTCTGTTTCCGTGACCTATTTTTCTTTTTTTCTTTTTTTTTTTGGAAAACTATTTACAAATACCGAGAAAGGAAGCCTCGTAATGGTCTTAGAGCCGAAGCAAATCGAAGTTCATACCGCCACCTCTCCCGCTCCGGCTGCCTAAGTGTGTGTGACTAAGCAGGTGATTACCCTCTGATGAAGACGTGCATTAGTGGCTGGCGGCAGAAAAGCACTTCAGGAATCGCCACTACCCTCCCTGCTTTGGCTGTCGGGGCCCATTCCCATATTACGTCGAATCGCCTCTGGTGTCCTACCATATCGAAATCATTCCCTCCTCTTATCATTTCTAACTAACACCTATCTCAACCTACTATATATTCTCAGTGTTGGGGGGTTGGCACGTTTCCTGTGACACCCTACAGGATAACATGCACCACCTTGACTCCCCCCTTTCCCCAAATCCCTGTTTTCCTGCAGGCATTGCCCCCCTCCCCAGTTGGGCTTTCTGTGGCAGGTGTCCATTGACACCATTGAAGATGGCTAGGGAGGTCAAATGGACGACATGAAATCGCTGTGGGGTCACCACCGGACCAAAGACCTCTGCGAGGGCGACCCATTCCAAACTCCCTATCTGCATCCTTGGCTGACCCGGCTTTTTACGGGGCTTCAACAAAATATATGATGACTGTATATTCCGTTCCTTCGGGCGTGCGCCGGATGACCCTCAGAGCTGACATAGCTGGCAGTGGCCAAACTTTGTAGCTGGACCCGAGCCAGTGCTGCACATGCCTCAGGACCTGCTGCTCCCGTGGGAGCTTATTGACAGTAGAGATAGGCACTTCCATGGCGTCATCCATGAGCAGCTTTATGTCCTGGGGCGTCCGCCACAAGGTGATAGGGCACACATAGCACTCCGCTTCTTGCAAGATGGTTGGCAGCCCCATTTCCGCTCAGCTCGGTCAGCGGGCCTTGCTGTTTGTCTCTCTATGTTTTCTTCAGCAGCCTCGGAGTCCAGCACGTGCTGTTTTGGCTGCTCCGACTGCTGATCTTCTTCTTGCATCGACTCTCCGTCGTTCTCTGACCCCTGGCACTCAGCATTCGGTTGCTCCCCCTGTTCCTCCTCCCCTCTCTCTTCACCTCCCTCATCCACATCATTCTCCCCCTCTCCCCCTCCCCAACTCTCCTTCTCCTCCTCTTCCCGGTCCCCCTCTGTTTATCCTCTTCATACCACTGCTCTGATTGAGGCAACCCCGAGTTACCCGAGCTATCCGCCTCAGAGGTTGTCAAGGCATCATCCTCCCCCGGGCCCTTTACTCTCCCTCCCACCGGCCAGCCAAAACTCGCATCTTTCGGAATAGGGGAGGCAGAAGACGAGGGGGAGATATCCCTGCGCCTCCCTCTAAGCCAGTATCTTGGCTTCTGGCCAGTCCCCCCCATCGGGGTCCACTCCCTTTCTCTCCTGCTCCACGTTTGTGATCATCGTTTTGACCCTTGATTCCGGCCGTTTTTTAACCTTGAGGACCCTGCCATAGCCGTGGAGAACGTCGGGACAGGAACGCATTCTGCTGGGGATGAGGTCTCGGGTGGTCCCGCTGTCACCTGCTTAGTTCTTCTTTTGCTTCCAGTCAGCAGTCTCTCCCCTTTGTCCCATTCCCTTTTGATGGGGGGTCGTATTCCGGTCGATCCCCAGTTCGTCCCGTTCCCGACTCACCCAATGGAGGTTCTTCTTCATCCCCCCCCCCTCCCCCACCCGGTCACTTCGACCTTTCGATATTTCCGTTGCCTGGCCCATGTCGTCCACAGCCTCTTCCCCTTTCTCTTTCCCTTCCTTCTTCGCACCCGATCCCCCGGTGGTCTCTGAAGGGCCCCCCTGTTGCAGCCCTCCCCCAGCGTCCTGTTTGTCCGTCATCTCTTCTAATTTCCCCTCTCCCTCCTTCTTTCCTGCCTCCCGATCTCCCATGGCCAGGCTACTTCCCAAATCCACCCGCCCTGTTTCGACCCCTTGTCCCTCTCCCTTGACTTCCTCATCGTTATCATCCTCTCCACCCATCCCGTCTCCCCCTTCGAATACTGCTTCGTTCTTTCTCTTTGACCCTCCGGTTTCGGGTTCCTCCACCGCCCCTTCTTTGTCAGTACCCATCCTCTCCTCCCGTGCGTCGTGTTCGCCCCCTCTAGCCGGTTGTTCTAACCCTCCCATTTTAGATGATCGTTCTTCATCCTCACCCGGCTGCTCCCCCTTTCTCTTGCGGTCAGTGCCAAACAGCCAATACGGCTCATCGGTCTGCATAGGGTCATCCACACATCCTTCCCACGGCACATTCCGCCAGTGTCCTCCTCCCCGGCGGGCCCTCCTTCTATTACTCGGGCCTGCCGCCCTCGCACTTGTCTGTTCCCCCACCCCCTGTGTCGATACCCGGGCGTCCTTCAACAGCGTCTCATCCATTCGCAGCTCCAGATCCCGCCAAGCCTTACATTCCAATTCAGGGTTGGATTGCAGTATCGGATCCATCATACTCCTCACCTCCCTATCATGCAACTCTTGGAGCGTTTCGACTCGAGTGAGGCAGCGGCCGTGCAGGATCAGATGACCGTGTGTAAAGCAGATTTTGCAGAAGGGTGTCTCGCTCGGAATCACCCTGACTTCTTCGAAGATATACGGCCCTGTGGCCACTGCCACACTGTTTTTCATCGGGTTCTTGAGCAGCCCATCGATCACATACATATATTTACTCCCGTTCTTCGTCATCCGCTCACTGTTCTTCAACAATCGGCCCATAGAAAAGTTCCAGCGCCCCTCGCATCCACTTGGCTGCCAACTGGGATGGCTTATACCCCTTTACCCATGGCCATCGTTTCGTTTCCTGTCAGCTGCCCTTGCTGCATAAATTTCCGCTGGCAGCTTCCATGGCAGCAGGTTAACCTCCCCATTCACCCCCGCCACCTGTATTTTCTCTGTTCGCCGGACATTGACCGACCCGTCCCGCATCTCAACAGTCGGCGCCTGGTAAGCAACTATCGTGTCCCCCTCTCTATCCACCTCTCCCCTCGCCGGCCCCCAAACCTTTTTTTTTAATTTTATTGACAGGTCCTTATGGCCCTGGCTCCATAATGAGTCCATATCCATTCTGGAAAGCGTCAGTCCAGCTCCTATTCCCCCGGCAAGTCGAGACTCAAGATAGTAAGATACATCATTTACACACTCATGCATCCTTCCATTCCGCCAAAGGACCCCTGACCAGCATTGATTGCTCCCTGTTGCGGGAGGATCGACTGTCAGCTTGCCCTTCTCATGTATTCCTCTCAGGATCCTTCTGTGGACCCATCAGCTCTGACTATTCACATCAAGAATCGCTGCAAACAATTTTTCTTTATTAAAAAAAAAAAAAAAAACACAGAATTACATCACTGGACTCACACATGCCCCCTTCCGTCTGCCGATTACATCACTGGACTCGCACTCGCACACGCCTCCTTCCGTCTGCCAGAAGGGTCCCTGAACGGCATTGATTCCACTGCAGTGGAGGATTGACCATCACCAAACCATTTTTCTGATTGATGAAAAACGTTTTTCTTTTTTTTTTCTGATTGATGAACATCATTTATTTGCTGTATCAAGATTGTGTCGATTGCTCTTCCTTCACTCCATTGAATACGCAGGCCCTTGCCACACAACACACGCGACGGAARAAAAAAAAAAAAAAAAAAAAAAAAAAGCTGAGAGGTGGCAAAATACATTCGCTACTATTCATAGTAACCGATGAATCTTTCAACTTTCTGTGGTAAGTTGAACTTCTTTTTTTTTCCTTCTTCTTTTCTTTTGGTGCCGTGTGGCGAGGCCCTTACACAATTGACGATACAAACACTGATTGATTGATGGTATTTGTCTGTGCACGCAATCAAAAAATTACGCCTTCAACTGCACGCATGCCTGTCACTGACAAATGATAATTTTTAGTTTCAATTTTTTTTTCCTCTTTTTTTCCCTTCCTCTTCTCTCCTCTTTTTCCCTCTTTTTACCCCCTTCACTTTCTTTCTTTTATAAAGGGCGATGGCCTTGAGATGTCATCATTAGACTGACCGGCCCCAGGTAATTAAGAATTCTATTTTCCTGTCCATCTGGTCGCATCCGGATTTGTGCACTGTAATTCTTTTTTTTCTTTTTTTTTCTTTTTTTTCTTTTTTTTCTTTTTTTTCTTTTTTTTTTTGGTGCAATCCAATTCATTTGGAACTTGCAAGTTGCACGCATTAACACTCAGAATCTTTTTTCACCAACGAGTGCAAAAATGAGGAAGGGATCAATTGGTTGAGGAAGTTATGGAACGACATATATCGTTACCCATCCATCACATAGCAAGTCATAAGTCACGAGAGTAAAAAAAATAAAATAATAAAATTAAAATAATAAAAATAAAACAATAAAAATAATAATAATAGTAAGTCACGAGAGACAATCAACCTGCAAAATATGTGAAATCTTGAACTCGAGTTGAACTCAAAGAAAAGATAAACAGAGATTACAGAGAGTTCGTCGTTAACCATGGTAAGACTACAGCATATCCTAGGGAAAACCTAGGGAACGCCATATCCACTATGGTGTACTCATCTACCACAACACTATAGCAGCGTACTCTGGCTCTCCCCTACCGGTTTCAGCTGGTGCCAGATCCAACCTCATCAGGGGGACGCGACTTTGAGATGGCGGCTTATCAGTGGACTACGGCTAATATACTACACGTCCCCCATCCTCTTAGTTGGACCTCTCTCTCGTAGCTTCCGTATTCCCACATGTTTCCAGTAGTTACCTTACAGCTTGACTGCTTTTCTCCCGCCCAGTTACTTACTGGTTCAGTCAGACCGGTATTTACCGTTTCTTCTGGTTTTCCTCCTTTTGTCAGGCCTTTACTTCCGTATTTCAGATTTCTCCGCATTTCACCAGTACGGCCCTTATCTCGTTTATCCGTTGAAAAAAGTCCGAAATTTGGAATCATCATTAAATCTTCAGGCTACCTAATTTCCTCCTTTCGCCAGGCCCTCATTTCCGTACAAAATTCCGAAGTTCGGAATCAGGGCTAAACCCGTACTTACCGTTTTTTTTTCTCTCCCTAAATCCCCTCCTTTCCCCAGGCCTTCAATTCCGTACTTCAGATTTCTACGTATCTCCCCAATTTTCGGCCCTTATCTCTTTTTTTTATCCGTTGTAAATTCCAAAATTCGGAATCCACAGCAAATCTTCAGGCTATCCGGTCTGTCACAGATACTCTGCTGTTCCACGCGGTTTCTTCAATCCTTCCTTCCTTCCTTTTCTACTTGCGCGTCAAGTCGCAAAGCCCCATGTAGGGTTACGCTAGGTACTTACCTGCTTACTTCGTTTTTCGATCTGAAGGTAGGTATTCCTCTCGTTACCTAATACCTACTCATGACCATCCACAAAATTTATGTCCCCAGGGTTCCCATAGCAAACAGATATGTACGAAATATTACAGATAAGTAAATGTTCAGTTCATATTCCCCAAAAAAAAAAAAAAAAGTTCAGTACTTGTTTAAATTTCAAAACAAAAATGCTTCACAACTAGTGAGTTAAATTTTGAAACATTAAAAATCACACTCATGTTAATTCAATTCAATAATTCTCACTGCTGTACATGCATATCTTAAATTAAAAAAAAAAAAAAAAAAATGGTGTCACACCCTTGCATCAGGATGGTATCACAATGACTCATGCCAAGCTCGACTGCATTTAATGCATTTTCCCCAAAAGGCCGACCCCCCTCCCTCGATGAAGTTCGAAATGGCATGAGTGCCAAGGTCAAACGTATCTGGACAACCGCCACGACGAGGTGCATGACGTATGCACTTGGACATAAGAGGTCTTTGGGCAAGATTCAGACAGAGCAGAAGCAATTTCTGAATTTCGGGGGATTTTTTTTTGGTTGTTGTTTCTGTATTAGTCAGCCCTTCACTTTCTTGAAACATAAATTGAAATTTGAAACGAATATATTTCTTTAATCTTTTTCGAAAAATGACGCTCACCCTGTGAAAGATCACGGAGATCGCAACACCAACTCCCACCCATAGCAAGGGTGATCCCCTGTTTTCAGGAGGCCAAAGAAAAGAAAAACAAAAACAAAAAGCAGGAACACCAGAAACAAACGGAAACCAAAAAACATCAACAACAATAATGGTAATAATAATCGCACATGGTAATAAAGAAACAATAATAATAATAAAACAATAATAAAAAATAATATTAAAATAATATTAAAAAAAACTCGCACATGGTAACAATAATGATAATCGCACATGGCACCAATGCGCTGGACAAAGGTTGGGATCTTGACAATTCAGCTGGAAATAATTTTAGATATTTACCTCTTCAATGAAAGAAAAAAAAAAAAAAAAAAAAAAAAAACTCCTCTTTGGGCCTTGTTCGACACCACTA